AATAATAATAATCCTTGCATTTGATATAGCGCTTTTCACGTCGGGAGGACGTCCCAAAGCGCTTCACAGAACACACTGTAAAGTGAATTGACTGTATATTTGTGGGCGAACGCGGCAGCCAATTGCGCACAGCGATGTCCCACAAACAGTCGTAGATTGAAAATGACCAATTTATTATTGTTTTGGGTTTTGGAGGGACAAGCCCCCAAAGTAGCCCACCCACCACATTATATTGGGCTACTCTCAAGGAGGAGCATTTGAGTGAGTCGATGTTTGACTCAAAACTGGATTTAAAGTACAAGTGTATTTTAATTTCTGACTAAACCCTGGATTGGGTGTGTTTGCCGCCCCCCCATCCAGAGACCAGGGGGCATTTGCCGTGCTTAACGAGCCTCGGGCAGAACTAATCGGCAATAATCCTTGCATTTGATTCGGCGCCTTGTCGTGCTGTTGAGACGTCTCAAAGCGCTTTCACAGGACGCGCCGTCAAGTGAAACATTGAAAGATCCGCGCAATAAGGAGAGTGGGGGGAGGAGGGCGCCCAAATAATGTGACCTGAAGGCGAATCCAGCTGGAATAGGAACTGCTGGAGAAAGGACGTACAATAGACATTCGGCCCTGCACTCTCCCCCCCNACCCCCTCCCCCTTCTCAGTTTCTGTAGAGGGAAAACAGCCGGTTGCAAACGAGCTGCTGCTGTGGGAGATTGCATTACAGTGACTGGCTGCTAAAGTTTGCTTGCGTTGCAGCTTCCCTTTCCTGCGTTAGGTTTCGTTACAGCGGCCTTGCAAAGGTTACGCAACAACCGTGCCGAGTGCTAAAATGCTCTGGAGAATGCGGGCATCGATCCCGCTACCTCTCGCATGCTAAGCGAGCGCTCTACCATCTGAGCTAATTCCCCTGCTGTAAGGGCAGGCCCAGCTGCAATTCTCTTTCTAGACGTAGGCGTGCAGTGGGTAATCCTGCAAGCCAGAAGCTTAAAGGGTGAGGAGGCCCTAACTGAACAAGCAGCAGAATGTTTGCCGGGACAGTGCTCTCAGTGGCATGCTATGTGGTTTTAGATGATTGAACTCCAGCATCAGTGGCGGGAACGGAGGGGAGGGCGCGGGGACTGCTGAGGGTAGGCTCGATGGGTCTTAAGTGGCGCCACTTGTACCCTATCCAAAATTAGAAAAGCAGAGTACATTCCTCGAGGGAGGGAGTGTGCATTCCATTCCAGACGCCGGGAAATTTCCATGCGTAGGTGGATGTATGTACCTATGTGGAACTTAGTCTGGATATACATAAGCATGGTGATGGCATCTGCATGTGTCACATACTGAGCTGACAGAAAAAAATGCAGTGTGCATTCTCAAACAGTAATACTACTCTCAATACAGACACAGTATAAAGTGGAGGAACCCTAATTAATTAGCCTTGAATACATTTTACTGTGTTTCTACTGTACAGTATATAGAAAATCGACGACATGCTCAGCTGCAGGACATCATCTGTCATCGCCACTTCAGATGTGTTACTTTTATTAAAACAAAACCCTGACTACGTTCTTGCTTGGGAACACGACTATTTTCCGTGTGGAAACAGCCTGTGCAAAATTAATTTAAAAATTCTGCCACGTTATTGATCTCCATCAAATCATCACCTCTCCTTATTCTTAAATACTTTATCAGCTACAAATATGAGAACAATCTTTTCTCCCTAATGCCAATTAAGATTTAATTATTCAAGTTTACTTTACTTTGCTTCTTACTTGAATGCATTTCTTAATTTTTTTCTTCGAGGTTCCTTAAGCTTTACACTTAATTTATATAATAAACATTCTTTTCTGCAACATTTTCTTAAATTGCTCATATAATTCATTAATACTTTCCTAACTAAGGTTAATTTTTTCTTAAATTATTTGTTGACTCTTTTGGCTATTCATTTTAATGGTCTGTAACTTGCTTCCATTTTATGTAGTCGTTGAGGTTGCACAATTTTCTGTGAAATGTCTGCAGATTGAGACAGTGTGCATCAAATTCAGGCCCTCACACTTTCTCTCAAACATATAAATTCTGAATGGAGGTACCCTGCATTCCACTGACGGATTTCTGCGACAATATTTAGCAGTGATATTTTTCTAGATCCCAGATATCAATTTTGTGTCTGTGATTTTAGATCGAAGTGGGAGTGCTGCTCACGCAATGCATTAGTATCAGTAATTTGATGCATTCCAACCCTTGCCATTGTGCTCAAATCAGAGGAGTTCAAACTCATATCTGACTAGTGAGATCCCAATCCCCAGAGAATATGGGGGAGCTGACAGATGCTTGAATAAATTATGATTAATCCTTGATGCACTCGACTTTGTATGTTGATTTGTTATATATTGGGGTCAGGAATTAAAAATGTAATTTTTTCTAGCTATCGCAAAGAAGATTTGTTTTGTTCTCAGGTTCCATGGCAACTCCTTTGCTTTGATAAACAAAGGTTGTAAACCATCACCCATCAAAATAATAGTCATTAAAACTAAATCACATGTTAATGGCAAGAAAATGCGCATTTGGAGATGTTCAAATCTTGATTGCATGTAATTGCAGGTCATAGTACAATATTGCAATGTATATTCAACTTCAAAGCTCAGTACTGCAAACTCTATTCATTCTACTAGGAAAGCCAAAAGATTCAATTAGTGAAAGCACCGACATTCCTCACAGAACACTTCTTACAAAGCCTCATTCAATGTCTCAAAGCATTTTTCCCATCTGGAGGAGCACCGCTACAGCTCCTCCCTATATTCACCCTGTGATCAACGTCAAATTGCTGCACACATCAATAAAGCAGTGCTTCTTAGCATCTCATCAATTTGCTAATTCACAATTCTATCTTGATGCCTGAATATTTTTGAGTTACCATTTAACAAAAAGTTTGTGGTTTTGTGGTTCTCACATTCAAACTTAAAATGGAAAGTCATTTCATTAAGTAAATCCTACTATCTTAATGAATGCAATAAAATAACTCAGAAAATCACGGATCACTTCAACTGCAGCATAATATCAGTTCAAAATGGTCAAATAAAATGAAAGCCGCTGCTCTATCACATTTGGAAAAGCATTCTGCAATATGTGTGGTGGTGGTTGTGATGGGCGTGGAGCATTTTTCAAAGCAACATTAAATTATTCAAGTCCTTTCAGGAAATATACCATCATGGCACCATCAGAAACCCATTTCCCTTATTTAGTTCGTTCTAATTTTTAAAAAAATCATAAAGAAATGCACCTGAACATTAGTTCTGCGACAATAAATAAATCTTCCTGGTGGTCGAGCAAATGTGTATATGAGCAGAAGTGTTTTTTTAGGGGCAGAGTAAATAGCTGGTTCAAAATTATACCCAGTTTCTATTGTGCACTGCACAATTTTACCAGGATTTTGGTGCTCCTGGTCCTTCTTGAAGGATGGGGTGGTGGGGGGGGGGGAGGAAATATTCATGTCACGAAAAGTGCAAGTCTTTAAAATAAACATTTTATTATAAAAAATCAACAGCATCTTTATTACAAATGTAGCGATATGATGTCTTTTGCAGGTAGTTTATACACAAAATACAAACAAAGGTTTCGTTAGCGAGTACCAGCAACTGAAGGTGGGAACAGACCAAATGTTGGTCATAAATTTGAAACAGACACAAACTTTATTCGACAGAAAGAAAAACTTGTTGACTAAGGAAGTGAAGCGAACCCCATTGGAGCTGCCAGCGAAAGGTTAAAGAGGCAAAAGGTCACTTACTATTGTAGTCAGTCCATTATATTTGTGTCGAGCCACACAAAGCTGCCAGCTTGGGAAATTCCACGCAGCCAACTGGAGTTTTTGAAGATCAAGCCACATCCCTGATGTCATCCGATTTATCCGGCAATTACTTATGCAGGCGTTGAAAATTATTTGAAAACCTTCACTTTTTGTTTGATCTGAGTCGATGCCAACAACTGGAACTTTCAGGTCACTGATTATGGCACCGTTTTTTGATGGGGGTTGCAGTACCTGATTCCGACAGCTTAACTCAGAACAAATATCACATCAGATTATGTTTACCCACAGCTTATATTTTAAATGTAGTCAAGTCTTTAAATAGATGGATCCTTTTGCTCTAAGGGCTGAAAGTGCTTGAAGTCATTGCAAAAAAACAAATCTTGCCCACATATTTTAAGTTGAGCATTCATCATTGGGGAGACATTGACCTTATTTCTATAAAAACAAAGCTACAGAATTGACTTGTATTTATGATCTGACAAAACAGAAGATAGCCAACATTTGCGAGATACGGTTTTACTATCATCTCCTTGCAACTCAGGGAGTAGTGGTTTATTAAAACTGGAAGTTGGTATTCAACACAAATCAACTTTTAAACATAGTTAACATGGTTGTCCTGCAAACCATCACGATTGCAATTTGTGTTTACTGAGGCTGCTGGGGAGTTTGCCACGAGTTATTAATTCTTTCCACAAAGGCTCATATCTTTGGGTAGAGATCCATAATTAGGACTTTGCAGATCCGCTGGGCAAATTGTACAGTGAGCCAGCGATTAATATCCTATGACCTCAATAGGCAAGTGCTCCTGCTCTCAACCACTGAAACCCACTAACTGGATGCCAGGTGCTTCTCACACAGAGGGAAGAGCAAATGGAAGGGACTCACCCCAGGCTCTTCATTATAGCAGTTGAAAATAAGAGCAGCACTGACAAAAGCACTAACTGCACATGCCCTGTTGGTGCTTTGCTGGCTGTGGATCAGAGTGCTGTGCTTTGGACTAAAATGGTTGGTAATAATAAATATGAAAAAAAGGTATAATATTGCTGAATCATCCCATGCAAAGCATCAACTAGCCCGAGGTGAATGAAGGGCACTATATAAATGCAAGTTATTTTTGTTGCAAAGGGCAAAATGTTTCAACTGGCTTAGAAAGGCTGTTTTTTTTTTACAAGATGTAAATACTCAAATGTTAGGGTTTGAAACACTGTAAGAATTTAATGGGTTAAAACTTTCCCTTTTATTTTTCAAAGATCGGTTGAGGACAGGCAGCTGTAATTTATTACAATTCACAAAAATATACATTTTAATTCAAGGAATAAACAAGAGTGCAAATTGGATTCTTCAAATTGGTAATTGAAGAGTACAAAATATTTCTGTTTTCAGTGGCAAGAAAAAAATTATGGTACGTCAAAGGTGTTGATATTACACTTGCAACAGCATTGCAGACACATCAGGATTACATCTTTTAACATCTGGCGTTTTTTTTAAAAAGTTATGATATTTGTAATTTGTTTGTATATTGTTTCAACGTAAACTGATCAATGAAGACCAGAAGAGTTTCGTCAAAAGTACTGATTTGTTGAAGGGTCCAATATTTCAACATACAACACAAGCTAAACAGGCCATCATCTATGTGTTCTCCATTTGCATAAACTCTGCATCAGATTCTTTAAGCGGGCTTGTGTTTCTGATAAACCAGTACTTTGTGAATGAAAATAATTAATGAAACAAAAATGTCTAAATGGCAGGATTGAGTTAACAAACAGCACCATCTCTGTCGTATGAAATCCTGTAATAATCTTAAACTCCAGGGTTTCACATTTCTCTGCAGTACAATGTAAAGCATGCATGCGCGTACACACACACACACACACACACACAGACACACAAAGTATATTGCGTATATGAAGGAAAGAATGAAAAGGAGAAATAACCTGATGTGCCGACGCTCTGCCTTCATACACAGTGGATATGCAGTATTAATGGGGGGGGGGGGGGGGGTCAGCAGCATGCTCACATTTCATCCAACAGCAACAAGGCACGTTGTGAAACATAAGGACATAAAGAGTCCTCACCATAATAATTAGAACGTTAAAATAACCACAGCCAAAAGATTAAAACCTAATACAATTACAAATAAATAGTGTTCTACACATTTTAGGTGCTTCATCTAACCCAAGAGCACAATTATTATATCAAGATGATACAATATTTCAGAAAGAATGCTTTGTTTAATGCCTACTTGAATAAGGTTGATGCAATTGCAATGGATATAATGATTGAACTGGATGTGGGGTGTCGCTGTCAATGAATACCCACAAAATCTCTGAAAAATAGTATTTATAAATAATTATGAAATTAGTTAAAAAATGTTTGAAATTTTAAACTGTTAAAAAGTAAGTTCTTAAGATCAGGGAGCCCCACAACAGTTTAAAAATTAAATGGGAATTTATGCTACTTTTTCATGAATGGATATTTTTGGAATTAGTGATGCAGTCAGTACAACACGCAGTGCAGACCTTTGAATGTCTATTAACAGTTGCTAGCCTTAAATTCAACACTTGCCCAACAGGTTAATGGTAAGGACATGCACATTCAAACTGTGGCGTAATAAGGCGAACTGCTTTACAACAAAGTCTTAGTCATCTACCATCAGTACGCAAGTTACTTCACTCAAGTTACAAATGGGCACTCTACAAACATTTCAGCAGTGAGGGACTGTAACTAAGTACTCAAATGAAAGCGCATGGTATTAAATCACTATTCCACCCAATCCCCAGTATTTTCAAGAGATCTGATTAATGTTTCACGTAAATTATATTCCGAGTTGTGCGAAATTGTGTATGATTGAATGACGTGCATTAGGAAGAATACTTTCGCATTGTGCATGGCAATGTTGACTTTTAAAAGTATTTCAGTTTGCTTCTGCGGCACCACGATGTACCTTTAGAAACTGGTAGAAAGAGCTAACTTATGTTGAATATCAATAAAACACAGTAATCGTATAGTTTAACTTTTAATATGATTTCCCCAAACTTTATGGGTGTTTTATATTCTTGCTTTTCCATTTGTTCTGTACGCTAAACATATGGCACAAAGATGGAGGTGGTATTTACTTTAAAAATAATTGAATGTTATAAATACTTCCCCCTCCCCCCAAAAAACTGCACAAAATTCCATTGCCCCACATCCTCCCCCCACACACCTCACATTTTCTGTACAATGCCCTTTGGATCGTCCTACCCGTCTGTTATTTTAAAATCATAAAATATACTTTTTCTCTGTTTGTATTTAAAGCTATGTACAGAATTATAAACAGCATCCTTCCCAAAGGGTCATGAGGAATCTGTACAGGGAGAGGGAGGAGGAGGACAGAGATGAAAATAGCTTCGTTCCGTAGATGGCGAAGGTGGGCAACTTTCACAGTTCTCCTCTGCTGACATGTACTGGCTTCGAGGGGTTGGGGGCGGTGGGTAAGGATCCGAGTCAGAGTTCAGGTCCATGTAGTACTTGGGACTTTTCCATCGGCTTGTGGTGTAATCACTATCACACACATCGGTGCTGCAAGGGGTTGTAGGTGGAGCAATACCCTGCAGAATGTAATGTCTGCAGAATTGGGACAACAAAGTAGTGTAAATGATTGGGATTTTTTTCACTCCCCCATGCCACCCACCCCCTCCCCACTCCCGATTCTTTTAAGGTAAAAGCTGTCCAAGTCTGAAAGGTTCAGATGTTACTTAAACTGAGTTGCTACACACTGTGTCTTAAACTGTGGCTACAGTGAGTGAACTAGAAAGAAATTAAAAAATTCTTGCATAATTTTTTTTATTTTTTAATTTATCATTTAATTTCCATGCAACTCTCATCTGCCTGTGTCTCATTGTGCCACACACCTTTGCTGTACTATCGCATGGTGCAGTCGCACTTTTTCAATTTTGTTTTAAAAACTGTCAAAATATTCAGAAGTAGCGAAAGTAGCAAATCCTGCAATACTACTGACATTCACAGCTGCTATTTCCCTCACAGTATCGATCAGGAATCCGAGCTTTAAACACAAACATGAAGGCTTGGATAAGATCTTCATACACACCTGTAAGACCTGGTAGTGGAAGGGCTGTTCGAGGAGTAGAATACTTCTGTATTATAAAGAGAACGATCGGTGGCTGGAGATGGAGGTGGATTTAAAATCTATTAAAAGAACAAATGTATATTAGAAATGTTAAATATTTAGGAAGTCATTTGTGTTTGGTTTTTAGTTTCAGTTCATCCTTCAAACGCCCTAGTGGAGTTCAGGTGAATGCATTTTACCAGGCAGTTTGTCAATGTTATTCTAGACGTGGCCACAAGACAGTGTGCAAGAGCAGTCTCAGGTGACCAGCCTTTTAATTCTTCAATATAGAAGCAACGTTATCTGTGCCTTCTCCTGACAGAAAGGCAAAGGTCATATTGCTGCTTAATGACAGACACATCCGGTATGGAAAAGACATTGTGCAATTAAAATCTGGAAGCATCCAATCGGTGACTAAACTCAGTGTTCAAAGACACAGTGCCACAGTACGGTACAAGATCTGCTTTGTTAGCAGCTTGATTAGGAAATTTAGGCTCTACAGTTTCCAGAAACAATGGGGCTACATGAAACTTGGAAATCAGTGCTCAATCTTAACTTCAAAAGGATGCAGCCACCTGAGCCCTTATTGCTATAAAACACAAGCTTTTTAGGAAAGCCAGGTCCATGTTGGAGTACGGTGGGACAGACGAATGGAAACTGAAAACAGTGTAAACTTTAGGCTGTTCATAGCCTTCAGGTCGTCTTACACCACAGAGAGATGATATTCCCTACTTTAGGAACATTTTGTTTCCTCGATACCAAAGGAGGCTCTGCCTTCAATTCCGATTTGCAGGTGGATGCCTCTGAAACTGGCAAAAAGTTTGCAGTTTCGGTGTGGACAATATTAAACGATGATAACTTAATATTAATCCTTGCATTTGATATAACGCGTTATCACGTTGCTGAGACGTCTCACAGAATATATTGTAAAGTGGATCGACTTGTGTATTTTGTGGATGAAAGAAATTCTTCCAAGAAACTCCAGAGGCAGAGAAGTGTTAACTCACCACTGGGCTTCACTCATCTCTGCCTTTGAAACCCAAAGAACTCATTGAATGGGAGATGTTTACAAATGAAACTTCAAACATTTCAATGAAACGTAAGTGCTGAATTCATTCCATTGTTTAAAATGAGTGAAAGCAAGGTTGTGGCAGGAATTAGTTGGGGGGTGTGGGGTGGGGGGGCGGGGAACTTTCAAAACTTATTGTGAAGGAATAATGCACATCAGATAAGTGCACACCTGTGGGTAGAAAGTTCCTTTTGTACTCGATGAACTGCTGGATGAGGCTCCGGTCACGTGATTTCGATCGTACAGCGGGGCCCCACTGCTGCCTCCCATCAAACTCATGGAACTGATCACAGACTTGCCACACGACATGCCTGCACAGAGCAAAGTAAAGGTTACACACCCGCAGTGTGCACACAAGCTCTCACAGTCTGAAACCCACCCCTGTAACAGTGCAAAAAACGTAGAATCATACAGCCACCATCTCCTTCACTTATTGTTGACATTTGTAGGTTGACAAGCAGGAACAGTCATAGAATCATACAGCACAGAAAGAGGCCATTTGGCCCATGGTGTCTGTGCTGGCTCTTTGAAAAGAGCGATCCAAATCACTGTACTGTAAACAATACAATATAAAATTACATTTGTACAGGTCGTTTCATGTCTGGAGGACTTCCCAAGTCCCAATGCACTCGAAAGCCAATTGGAAACTTTCCCATTTAACTTTGCTGTATCAAAAAAAATCCCGTTTGTTCAAAAGAGAATCTCAAAAGCACACAAATTAATTAATACAGAAGTAGTACAGATTACTCCACTTTGATAAGCTATTTTCAATTCTAAAATTCCTAGCCTTATTACACGACTTCCCCCAACCAAAAACAAGACTTATTGCCCACTGAAAAAGAAACTGTAAACAATGGCTTTATATAAACCTGTTATTCATGCCGAATGCTATAAAACACTTGAACCCTCAAGCAAAATAGTCAATATCTGTAGATCAGGAAAAATGAAATGTAAAATTATGCGACAGTTTAACTGAACTCCTAGTGCTGTGCACAACTTTGGAAATTTGATATGGTAACATATAAATGATCACAATTCTATCTGAGAACCAGCAGATGGCATGTGCTAGCCAGCATATTCCAAACATTTGTCTCGACTATTCAGCAAAGCAAAATGAACACCGAGTTTAGGATTTTACAGTTACTCTCAAGAGAACAAACTAAACCTGAAGGAATCCTTACCAGTGAAAGTTCCGTGCTGGGAACTGCCAGGAGCAATGAAATTAAGGGGAACGTGTGGAGTTCCGCTGATATACTCGTGTGGAAAAGGTCCATTGGGTCCCTTGTAGTGGCGACAGACAACTCGTTGGCAGACAAAGTACATACCACCCAAAACAAAGAGTGAAAGTATTATACCAATGACTGGTCCAATTGCATTGCTATGAGAAGGCAACTCGTCCACTGGAGGTTTCGTCAATTCTGATGGGAAGAAAATAAATTATACTCTGAGAAGCTGCAGCAGAATCGGGTCAATACAATGGGAATCAGATCGTACACATTGATCTTCAATTTAGGCGACAAAAGTCATGAAACACCAAGAGCCACATTGCATGTGGGATTAAAAAGTTCACTTCAATATGATTATGCCCTCGGACAGTTAAAAGATGCTTCAACAAGTTTTAACCCTAAGTGTGCAGGACAATGTGAAGATTATATAGAATTCTTCACCGTCCCATTGCTGCCATAGATGTACAGATGAATGTATGAAATAGTGCAACATAAAATTAATTTGGATTAATCTCAACTGGTTTCTGAATCAATTGAATGGGAGCTCACAGCACAAAAACTCCTGTAACTTGTACAAATATGACATATCACAACTATGAAATATTGGTGGAGATGGAAGTGCTCTTCAGTGGAAGGAGCCGTTCAGAAGACAATTTCCACCCCATTACAATGGAGTACGACTTGATCCTGGGAACTGCCAGGAGAGCAATTAAATTATGAGAAATATGTATGGGTTCCCCTTGATACTGATGGGAACAAATATCCATTGGGCCCCTTGTAGTGGTCACGGATAACTTGTTGGCAGACAAAGTACATACGACCCGTGACAAAGAGTGAAAGTATTATACCAATGACTGGTCCAATTGCATTACTGTGAGACTGCAACTCATCCACTGGATGTACAGGTATTATATTGCGAGGCACAGAGATTTCTAGGACAATGCTGTAGGTAAACATATGCTAACCACAAATAAGCTCATCTGATCCATCGATGCAATCTGAAAATGAGTCACAGCGCTGCTTCTTCAAAATGCACCGGCCATTCCCGCAGCGAAACTGGTTGGGACCACAGACTTCTGGAATCAAAGGGAAAAACCAAATGATTTACTTACCGTAGAAAATTTTAAGAACTTGCGAAAGTGCGAAAGCAATTTGGGGTTTGATGAGTTAGGAGGAGGATTGGAAGTAAAGATGATCGGTTCAGATCAACAAGCGATTCAAATTCTTCACAAAATGTATCACAGTCAATTTGTAATGATAATAGCCATTCATTAAAAGGTGAATTAAATAATGGAATGTACCTGTTCACCATCTAAGCATTTTGCAGATGGGTTCAAGCTCACTAAGCTGACAGAGAATGAAGCCGCGCTCGTTCATGTTGATTTTAAAGCACTAATCAAAAAGAGAAGGGAATTTCTTCTGATGATGTCCTGGGTAACAATCCTCCAGATTAATTGGCGATTCACCTTGTGGCTATTTGTACGACCTTAATGGCACAAATGGCTGACTCCTTTGCAACAAAGGCAGTCACTGTAATTGATAGTACCTGCTTCTAAAGCGATTTAAGATGTTTCAACAGAGTAAGGTATAAAAATGTATTTTTTTTCCCATAAGATCACAAAAAACTAGTAGGTCATTCAGTCCATCAAGCCCATTCTGCCATGGCCCAAATACAACAAGCCTCTTCAATGCCACTTCTCTGACATATCTCTTAATATTTTTATTATCCAAGTAGAGTATCTAACCATTTCTTCTCTTTTAAATCCCTCAACTGTTTTCTCTTCTATGATTTCAGACCATGAATCCAGATTACTATCTGCGAGAAGAAATATTTCCTCAATCTCAGTCCTTAAAGGAGAGGGGAGGGGGGGGTTAAGAAGTCATTTGATATCTTACTTTATTTTCTAATCCCCCTGAGACTGGGTTTCTACAAGCAGCAATGAGCCCGTCAGCTGCTGGCACTGCTGAGACAAGTGATCAGCTCGTCTTGAAACACTGGGGATCAAGATCTTTGTGGACTCTGATCGGATGACATCTCAGCTGGCATAATTCTGCACTGCCGTGTAGTCACTCAGCACTTCTCAATTAAGTAAGGTCGAGGAAAGGCAGGGAAAGGATGGAGATTGGTGACATTTCCAGTGTAGCTGCTGCTGGGGAGGAGGTGTGTGTTAATGTGATCAAGGCTGCTGCCATTTTAACATTAGCTGAGGAGTTGACTCTGAAGAACACATCTGCGGGGACTGGAAGTAAACTTCTCCCTTATATTTGTTTGAGTGAATTATTAAATCTTTTTTGTTTTGCTCAGACGAAATGAGGACTTGTGTTGAAAGTATTCCCTATATTTCCTCAGCTTCAATAGAAACTTCAAATGGTAGATCTTGAAACTTATAACTGCCTTTACGATCAACTCCTCCAGAACTATCCCTATCAAGGGCTCTGAGTCATTATTATATGTGAAGAGCACGCTATAAATGCAAGTTGTTGTTGTGGTAGATATAAGAGAAAGGTTCCTGGAGCTGGTGAAGTTAAGACAGAATGTTGCAGTACTAGCCCTGTGTCACTAGAGGAACTATTTACGTAGGTTACAACAGGAGAAACTGGGTGAAATTTCTCTTCAACCAAAGTAAAGCGAGTTTGACAATTGCACAAAGATTTTTCCATTACGAGTAGACATCACCAAAGCCATATCCTTCGTGATAAAAGGAATGTATCACCACTAGCACTGTAAATACAGGCAAGAGTTGTTCTGCGGCTTTTTTCAGGATCTTACTCCATTTACATCGCAGGGTGGAATCCAAAGTATTGGCAGCAATGTTGGAACAGCTGTGTTTGTGTGAACCTGAGCAAGTGCACCCTTTCCCAAGTGGCGAGTCAGGACTTTGTGTTATTGGCCACAGATTTTTCCTGATTTCCGCACCCTACTCCCTCCAGCACAGAAAAACACAAGTCAGGCTCCAGGCTTTCGTGATGAATAAGTTGAAGAGAAACTTTGTCAATTGTCAATGGACTAAACTTGATTTCTGCTTCCTGCACGTGAAAGGTTAGTCTGCTGTGACCACTCCACCCAAATTACAAACTTTTAAAAAAAGCGCAGAAATGTAGCATTTACCATCACAGTGTTCCTCATCCGATTTATCCTGGCAATTGATTTCCCCGTTACATCGCAACCACGCATCAATACACTGGCCCTTCTCGCATTGGAAATGGTGGATAGAACAGATTGGGCAATTTTCCTCGTCGCTACCGTCGTCACATTCTGCAAAGCCATCACAGCGCCATTCCATCGGGATGCAATCGATGTCTCCGGTAGCACAGGTAAACTGGTCTGGCGAACAGGTGGGTGGTTCTGAAAACAAGTTGCGGAAATTTAAGTTAAAAAAGAAAGACATAAACATAAGAAATAAATAGAACCAAGTATTTCCTCGGGTCACAGGTGCCAAACCTGATAATATCTCGCCCGAGTGGTCAGGTATGGGCAGACTATTTGATCGGGAAAGGAGGGGGTGGGGGGGAGAAAGGAATCACAGTTGAGCACAGTCTGCCCACAAGCAGATTTTATAGGAGAGGTCAGCAAATTACTACTGGGATGCTCCTGTCTGATATTATCTGCTTTAATTCAGGAACAATGTCACAATCCTGCCCCGAGTTAACAAACTCATCCCAAATCCTGGTCCTTCCAGATTTGTACGGCTGAGTTGCAGATGTGTGCTCCGCTCAGGATGGGATACTTACTGAGAGCTAATAGCACTACCTGGAATTGTAGGAAGGGGATTTTAAGGCTTCGCTATTTGCTAAAGAAGCCAACGCACTTTCCAAGCAGGATTCAAGACATCCTGCACAGAACCAGCACAGGTGCAAACTAAACATAATGACAACAGGGAGAGTGGTGGTGCCCATTTCTTCGGCTCTCCCACTCTCGAGTCACCCACTCGCCAGTTGAAACCCAATCTAAACATAATATCCAACAAAGAGCAGCCATTAATCCAGACACTTCCCTGATCCACTTGCAGCGCAAATCCAAATAAAAGAGACTGAAAGCGAATAAAACTGAAAGTGAGATGATTGGTACCTCCGCACGTCAATAGGTTTTGTAAGAGCACCAGATGCACTGGGCATGAGCACCGCGGTGTCCCGTCACCCTTTGCAATGCAGATGTGGGAACAGCCACCGTTATCACGGGAGCAAGGATGTGAACCTGTGAATAAACAACACGTTAAGGTCCTTACATTCAAACTCTCAAAATCGCAATCATCCAGTCACAGTTGGCACACAGCCGCTGACAGTCAAATAACAGGAGCAGGATTGATTGCCCTTATATCACGATGACTAATAACTTATTCTTTTTTTTAATTAAATCACACCGCTTGTTAAACGAGCGGTCATAAAATAATTCTCATCATGAGACCTTTTAGAAACAAACTTTATAAATAACACTTTCTGAAGGTTTAAAACTTCTGAAGGCTGTAGAAACATATAGGTTGCAAGCGAGGATTTGGTAGTAAATCAAACCCCAAAATTTTGCATGCTCTCTTTATCCATTAACTGGAAAATTCATAGTTCACTCCCAAAAATGTTTGTGCTCACTGCATACAAATGGAAATTCACCACAACGAACCATCAACGATTGTACTGGCAGAGTGTGAAGTCCATAGGTATATAATGCAGTACACGTTTGTTGCAACACTGACAATTTAATATTTCACAAGGGGTTCTGAAACTCAGTACAGTTTAGTATACTTTTACCAGGTCCTATAATGCAGACTTTAAAGATTTTTTTTATTAAAATCTTAAAAACTGAAGATAAAAAAATGGCCTGGAGGCAGCATTTGTAAATGCTTGAGAAGAGAGACGGCACCTGTCAGCAACAGTGGGATTGCTTTTATTTAGGAAAGGTGGTTTCCAATATGTTAATACGTGCCTTACTGCAGGGAAAACTTGTGTTGCCACAGTTACACAGTCATTGTACACGAATGCTATAAACTTTGAAAATTAAACAAAGCAAACATACTAAACTCCTGCACATCCAGCTCTTCTACTGCGTGGATGCTAGTAAGATGTGCTATTCGTCCTTGAATTTTGGTGCGTTGGTCCCCACTGGATTTCTCGATACGTTCAATCATCTGCTGTTGGCGATCGATCCAGTAAATGTGGGCTCCAAGTACAGTGAGTCCCATTGGCTGTAGAATGCTGGAATCCTGCAATGTCAGCCTGTTGGCACCTAAGTGATTTAACAAAAGACGAGACCTTTTTAATGAGATCATATTCCTTCCCACAACTGTTACATAAAAGTAGTAAATATGTACATTCTGTGGAGTGTATTGCTCTCGGGTACTTTGGTGATTCATTTGTTATTGTCTTGGGCATTTGTAGGGACAAGCATTGAGCACTTTTACAGGTTATCATCTGTTCGTCCACCCCTAGCTATCTCATTCTCTCCAAAATCACTGTCTGTGGTTATAGTCGATGGCTATAACTCTTATCCCTTCACTCCAGGGGTTTTCCAGGCTCTGTACTCTCTTCCTCTTTGCTCTCTAGATCAATGACATTTTCCATTCCTGATTCAACTCTATCCATTCTTTTGTTGATTCGATTCTACCTTTGCCAACTTCCTTCAGATCATATGCCTCAATGCACACAACCATCACTCCTCACATTGCACTGAGTGAATCACTATACCTGGATCTCCTCCCCAATATCAACAGAGTAGACTTTCTTTCAATTCCTCAAAGATATGTGCCTTTCGCAAGTCTAACCAACTGCTACCACGCCTTACCTTTGATGACTCAACTCTTAATCTCCCTTCATCCATCGACAGTGCTGGCCTCAACTATTTCCTATGATCTCAAATGAAATTCTTACATTTTTTACAAAAAGCTCAGTTTTCTCTTTCCCTGCCAAATATGTACACTGTATTTCCCTTAATAATTCTTAACTCACCTACAAAAGCCCCAAATCACCCGACATTCATACTGTACTAATATCTGGAGACCCTCTTCTAAAACTAATCTGGGGGGGGGGCGGAATCCACCTCGGTCTAGATGTCCTCTGTGTTGCATGTTAGAGCATCGAAAATTTGGCAAATTGCCTTACTTTTGAAGTAGATTTTCTGTAGTTCTTAAAATAATTTTTATGCCGTTTTGCCCCCTGCTCTCTGGAACTCCATCCCATCGCCTTAACCCTTCCAACTTTTAAAATGCACCCATGTCTTTTCAATTGCAATAAATTGAGAGGGGATACATTTTGTAACGGGCTGCATTAACACTTGCTAATGAACAGTGAATGAATTTAGTGAACTTATGACCTTGAACACATCAATAGGCCCTCCTTTTGCAAATTTAAAGAAACTATATTCCACTACAACATCAGAGCCTTTCCTTTGAACAGTTCAACATCACACAAATTCCGAAAAGGGCAAGTTTTTCCACGTTTTTAACCCAAGGGAAGAAGGGGACGGAAAAAGATACCCGACTAACATGTGCAATGAATTGCTTCTGGTTTCTCATTTCTACAACTAACAAAAGACCAGATTACATTTACTTTGGTTGATGCAGGTTTAAAAAGGAAAAAAAATAGTGGGAGGTTCTTTATGTTCACCTGCATGCAAGGCTGTCCCAATGCTGGTGCTTTGGTATGCAGAGTGAAGAGCAATGTAGAATATAAGGTGTACTCCCGAGGCTATGAACACTCAATCTTTTCACACTGTCTTTGGCTGTCAAGAGTAAAGGGCGCCGACATCTGCCTAATACGAATTTAAGATTAAATCACGCTTCCTTTTGATCATTTTACTGAACAAAATCCACACAATACAGTTCATACAAAGAGTGGGGGAGGAGGATTTTACTTTTGGTTTGGAAAAATCCCTTTTAACATGAATCCTAAAAATACTTTGCACCACAAAATGACCGTTTGGGTTTCTTCCTCGATAATTTTGTCAGACAAGAGCATAGGAATATAGAATAAAATAAAACTATCAACTTAACAGGTACAAGCAACAATCCTCTCTTGGGTTTGTAAAAATATTTTTGTATGCAGAGATTTACTCTTGAAACGACCAGACTGGGAAACCACAGTCAGGTTATCAACAGAAATATTCAGCTACAAATCTCGGCTCTCACTCAGTTCTAGAATGGCATTGCCCACAGCGAGGAAGAATATTTCTCTCCCTCCCGGGACTGAGATTTAAAACGTCGCTGCTCAATAAGAAACTGAGCCAGGAAAACCAAGAGCGTCACAAGTTCAATCCTCAGCCTGTCAGCTGATCCCACCCGGAGTGTTAGTAGGAGTACGGCAATTGAACTCAACACCAACTGGGCCGGGCAGGGAAAAGGTTGAACAACAGACGGACAGGGTTTCCACACATAAGCAAAGTAACCACAGGATGGCCAGTACCCTTGGAACCATATCTCAGTACAAGTCCATGAATTTCTGTAGAAAATTAGAAGGCCAATAATTTTTTTTTAATCGTTACATCCTTCCAGGATGCAAAACAAACCATTTTAACTGCATCTTGGCAGGACAGCTCCTTGCAGCTGTAACACCGATGATGTGGTAGAATGAACATCTATTTTTAATATGAGCCTTGCCATTTTGAAATGGGTTACTGCTACTTTGCCTCCATATTGAACTGAATATACTTTTGTCTGCTTAACGCCGAACAAAAATTCAGGATTTCAAAGTGAAAAACATACTCATTCTCAGACAGCCCAAATTGCAAATGATTGCAATTAATGACACTAGGTTTGCCAGCAATGAACACACTGTCTAGCACTGTCAAACAATACCAGAAAGATCAAAGGCAGACAAATGTATTTCGATATTAATAAAAAGTAGGATTTGCTCTTTTAAGCTTTCACCGAATACAAATATAGCAACTCAGAGCTGGAAAACAATTTACATTTCATTGTTAAATAAAAGGTTCCAAGATAAAAGATTACGAGGGAAAGTGGGAGCTTACAAACCCACATTGCTGTGTTAAAAAAAAACTTACCAGACAAGTCGCTGCTTTCAATACGCTTAAGATCTGCATCAATCCAGAAAAGTTTTCCCAATTTGTTGTCAATTGCCAAAGCTACAGGCCGAATCAATCCAGTGGAAAATAACACTTCTCTCTCGGTACCGTCAAGTGCTGCACGCTCAATCTTTGCGGTCCTCTCCTGCATATTCGTGAAGTACAGATACCTGTATACAATTCCAATACAAAACAATATAAGAACTGGAAAATTCACATTAGGATAGAGAGATTCAAACCTAATGCAACCATAAACTGTTTTTCTTAAGAACTGTTTGAAATATTCTATGATTTGTCTTGAGTTATGATGCCCACACTGAACTATTCCCTTCTGCCAGCATGTGGTTGAACAAACAAAATATATTCAACAACAGATTACATCAATCTTTCAATTTCTCCAGCAAATGTTAATTGTATCTTATGAAAAGTAACTCAATGGTGAGGACATGAACACCGTAGAAATATACATTGTTATGTGGATCATCAAAAGAGAAGTAATTTTCATTGATCTTAATGTTCTTGCAAAATATAAAGTGTGATATCTGATGAGTTAATAGAAAAGAACAATCAATTATTTATTTATTAACAATAATCAAATCCTTTCATTCAGATTTTATTGTATATGGTGTCTGGTAAATATTTGTTGCTCTAATTTAAAATTAGGCATGTGAGTTTGCCTTTTGCTTAAGTTTTGACTCGTGGCTATTGAGCTCCATGTAGTGCTGAACATGCAAATAAAAACACATTACCCTCGTTCAGCATTCACCACAATGGCTCTTGGTCGGTCATGCTCTCCACTAAGAACAACCCCGATGGACTTGCCATCGAGCCTGTTAACATTTATGGTGTTCGAGGCTTCACAGGTCCAGTAAACTGTTCGGCTGTAGATATCGAGGTTCAGGTCATGAGGCTGTATATCTGGGTTTTGGCTTTGGTTTGACCCAGTCACAACCACAAAAGCCTAAATACATGAAACAATGGAAAAGCAAAATAAAAAGTGGTTCATAGGATGCCTGAAAATAAAATTGAGTTCCTCACAGCACTAACTCAATAGGCAAGCTTGTTCAACCCTGTAAAGAATTATTTATGAACGCTTAATGGCTAACTCTGCACACAAGTATCTGGTCTCCTTGCTTTATACCTTTATTATTTGCAACTAAATTCTCCGATAGAAATTGGGAATGATAGATTTTGTGCATAATTTTGCCTTCCCTGATATTAAGGTTGCGGAGAAATGCTTGCAATCCAATGTCTTTTCGTACGCCATTTGTCCCTTCAAGCCAGTTCTACCAATTTTTAGTTCGAGGCATATCTGTAAATTTCAGTTCCCTGCCTTTTTATCTATAGATCTAGCTTCCCAAGTATGTTATCTCACTTTTCAATATCATAATCTAGACTGCATCTACGACTTACTGAGGCCAGGCATTCCACATTCTCATAACCTTCTTAGCGAGGAAATGTTTTCTGATTACACTTCTAAGTGGATTAATTTTTTTAAAACTATGCCTCCTGGTTCTGGATCTCTCCACCACAAGCAATAACCAAAGGCACAGGAACGCATGTAAATAGATATGTAAATATTTCTTCATTGCAATTGACAGAGCACTTCTAAAAGATTCCAAGCGCACACGACTTGCCTGAGATCCATCGTCTCGAGCTCTTTTGATAACGTTTTGGCGGCCATCGACCCAATAAATTAACTTATCAACAGCATCATATTCCACTGCCTTCACATTTCGCAAACCATGCACAGGCAGAATAATATCGGGACTTTGTTGTTGATCCAACACCATTCGACTGATCGCAGTCTTCTGACTAAACAGCAAGAAGCTTATGGGTGCTGGGGGTAAAGATTTCCATGTTGTTTAATACAATCAACTGCTTCTGTAAGATCACTTTACAAATGTTATGACTGTTAATGGAGTCTCACTAGTAAGATAATATGGAAAGTGTTACAATTGATTTACAGCGGTTGTAAAATATTGTAATTATTCAAACCATAGATTTAAATTAGTAACTTAAACATGTTAAGACACCTTTCCAGGTATGCAAGTTTGCAAGTGGGGTAAAATACTCCCAGCGAACAATCTAACTTTACAGCAACGCAAGATAACCCAAGGTCACACTGCTGTGCACAATTGACCTCCACATTTCGCCCACAAAGTACACATCAATTTACTTTACAGTATATCCTGTGAAACGCTTTATGATGTATCGAAGACCTGATAAGGTAGTATATCAAACCCAAGAATTATTATTATTTATTATAATATCTCGAATGGTGGCTGCTTCCATAAGAAAGCTATATCTTTTCCAAAAACGTTTTCCTCTGTGTATGCTCCTTTGCCAAACTACCTCAGCTATCCTGATCTCTCTTTATTCTGTTATCTGATCCAATTTCATACTACAGTAAAACACGCATAAGTTTTATCTTTATAAATCATATCATCACCTAAGACGTACATGCACACAGTCCCAGTCAGTATGCATGGAAGAATTTAATTCCCCAAGATTCAATGTGATTTCAATGCTTATTAGTAAGTGTGCATTCAGAGCTGGGTCAAAACTCATTGAAACACGGGGAAGGAAGTCTTGACCCATCACCACATACACACTTACCTGCTGTAATGTGCAGTGTAGATTATTGATTAAATTGGAATTCATATGACTTATACAAGTTTGCCTGCAACTCGGACTTTGTCTAAGTCATATTAAGTGTCATGCTCCCGACTAATAGGACTTGTGTGTTTTATTGTATTAGCAAATAAGGTCAACTTTGACCGGTTAACTGCTTCCACTGTAAATGGCCCATCGTCGACAAAATCCTCTCCTTGCATCACCAATATCCTGCAATTATATTAACGGTGCAGAAGTACAACTAACATATAATTTTGAAAGCAATAAAAATAAATGCTTACAGCTGCAGGTTCTGTTGTTAGCATCAAGTGTGTAATGTGATGTACATCCACACATGTACCCATCTGGCACAGCGAGGCAAAGATGAGAACAATGTCCATTTGTTTGCACACATTTGTTCCAGCCATCTTGACGGGAAGAATGAAAAACTAAAATGTCCATCACATAATCCAAATGTCCCTGAATAAGCGTACGGTTCTGGCCATTGATTTTGTCAGCCCGTTGAATACTGCGAAGGTTCCAGTCCGTCCAGTAGATGTAATCTCGGTACTGAGTTAATCCAAAGGGATGAGGCAGATCATCAGCTATGACCTCACGCTGTGCTCCTGTTTCAGGAAAATACACAATAGAATTAAATCTGCTTTTGTTACTGCGCCATAGACCTCTAGGAGTCAATCTGCGAGGTCCGTATGGATTAATATTGCCCTGGATAGTATTTGGTTTCAACCAATAGACCAGGCATTGCCTAATGCAGTACTTGGTTATCAGAGGTTCCTAAACAGCTTACTTAAACCTTTAACAAGTTAATTTATACATTTCAGTGGAACAAGAGCCTCTAAAAGGACAGCAACAGAAGGACTGCTATATGTGATATGAAATGTCATACATTCTGCTGAAGAATGCTGAAGTGAAAAGAACATTGGTTCATCCATGAACCCCACCAACGTGTGGTATTTGAAGTCAGAATTCAAAACCTGAATTAAAATCTTGCCACTGTTTGTTTAAGTCAGAGACGACTTAAATAAATACATTACCATGACTTCAAAATGCATGCCTATATATACAATAAATCATTACAGATTAAATACTTGATTCACAAGTTCACATCAAAATATTCAGAGCCTAGGTTGGAGTTTTCTCTTACCCAGCATATTTGAAGACTCAATCATTGATGTGTCAAGGTCAGTCCAGTACAGTCTTTGCTCTGCATAGTCGATAGTAAGTCCATTGGCACGCCCCACTCTGTCCACCAAAATAAAGCTATTCATACCATCCATGTGAGCTCGGACAATTCTTGGTTTACCTCCCCATTCTGTCCAATACATGTATCTAGTTTGGGGAACAGATGCAAACACATTTGAGAAAAATATCTATGTTTTCCAAACAATCCTGTTTCGGTTAACAACCTGCAATTATGAGTAACTGTTGAGCGGAGACTCAAACAGATTTTGTAGTTCAACTATTCAACCTGTCTGAATATCCTCCACTTTTAAGAAAATGCTAATTCTTAATCTCATGTGCACGCAAGAGTTTTTTTCCTGTAAAAGAAAAGTATTGGTACAACCCCATTAACCAGCTATCAACTTTAACCCTAAACCCTAAAAAGAAATCCGAATAAGAAAGCTTCCTATTACATTATCTATTTTGTTTAAATTGCTAAATGAAAGACACGAATGCTGGGAAATGCAACAATTGGCATTTTTGGTATCTTATGTCCACATCAATCATTGCTGGGTTGGGCCACAGGACAGAAGCAGAGAAATATTTCCAATACTTTAATCAAACTATTTCCTCTCCCTGCCAAACTGTCTTATTGTGAATTTTCCAGTTCCCACGACAATGACCATTTATGGCCTTTCTTGCTGAGACAAACTCGGAAACTTTAATGATACTTGGTATCAAATGATAAGTGTTGTCTCACCCTTCAGATGGATCCAGAGCTAAGGCACGAGGATTGTCAAGCTCTTTCCATACTAAAACCTGTCGATATTGCCCGTCCAGACGTGCTACTTCAATCCGATTGGTGCCGGTGTCTGCCCAGTAAAGATTTTTGGCTAACCAGTCTACAGCCATGCCTTCCGGATAGTCAAGCCCAAACTCAATCACATGCTCAGAAGAACTTCCGTTCATGAAAGCGCGGCTGATAGTCTGTTGGGATAACAATAAAATGGGATACTATGATGAAGAAAACACAAATTAAGCAAATGTACAGCCTGTTTCATTTCAATCAATCAGAATTTACATACAAATATAATAAATAAATTGATGCACACAATTTTGGAAAAGTTTTAAATAATGCCCACTCCATTTCTCCTTCGTTTTACTGATTTTCTCTCCTGATGAGATTCACTTTTTCTTTCTGCTGAGATATGGTTCAACCAGCACCAATCACCGTCACTCCTAGTGCCTGTTATTTAGGTGTTAGCTTACACAATGTCAAGATCGTTGAGTGGAGAAAGAGTGGTTTCAAACCAGATCAATTCCCCATACCTTTAAACTAATGTCTGTCCAATAAATTCTGTTATCAGAAACTTCAAAATCGAGAGCGGATGCTTCCTTTACTCCTGTTAGTGGAATGGCCACATCATTGTTATTGGTTTCCAAAGAGATCCTTCGGATGTCTGCTCGGCTAGAGAACAGGAGGAAGGCTTCAGGTACAATGCAGGTTTTCATATCCCTGATTAACTCCAGGCCCATTGGGCAAGCACAGCATGGACCCTCAGGCCTGTACAAACACAGGTGGCTGCATCCTCCATTATTCTCAGCACAAGAGTTTGTTCCTGCAATAACAACACACAACAATGCCATTAGCTACAGAATTATTATAGTAAACAGGATGCATAGCAGTGAATTTCCTGTGAATACAGTTGCCATTCTTTTTCAAACTGTTCGTTAGTCCGAGGCTAGAATTGAAATTAATAGACTTTGATTTTAGGTACTTTTAAGGGTTAGTCTACAAAATCTAAATCTAAATAAAATTAATGGCAAAAAGGAAGATTAAAATTAAAGGGAAAATGAAGGATTCAAATAACTTATTCAATGTATAACAGAGTTTCCCAGGTATTGATTTTCTTCGCACAAATTCATTTATCTTTATCCTAGTTTACTGGTCAATGTTGCTTTGAAAAAGTCTTTACTTTATTTAGTTCTTATTTATTGCAGGAAGGAATAGTCAGTGGCTATTAACACTGAAAACTCCATTTATTAAGAACTGAAAATATTTTTTTAAATGAAATCTCCAAGTGAAGAATTCTTTTTTACATTTCCCATAAATTCAACTATATTTTAAACCAGCAAAGCTTCTTTCGTCCTCAAAAGATTTGGACACAGTGCACGTTTCAATCTCTAGCTGGATTGACACTCAAGTAAAGCTTACGCACCAAATGCTTTGGTTACTCTTGCTGCTTTGAGTCCCATGAGATCAGGTAGCTGATCGATGATGATCTCTCTCTTGGCGTGGTGCTTGTGAACACGTTCGATGCTTCGCCTCTGCCAGTCTGTCCAGTAGACGTAATCACCCAATAAAGTGAACCCGAATATGTGAGGAAGTTTATCCTCCACAAGTGTTCTGCGGTCAGTTCCATCCACATTGATTACCTATCGGAAACCAAGGAGCACATTTTTAATTAAGAGAAGGAAGAATTGGTGGGAATGAACCTCCCCGACTGACTGGGCTCAATACAGCACCAAATATCTTTTGTGCAGGTCAGAACATGTCCAGCAGCAATTCCTTCTAAAGGTATGCTCACAATTCAGAACCGGCAATAGACCTTTATTAAAGGTCTTTTCGATGAGCATTTTCAACTTGGCTGGCTTTCTTCAAAGAAAAAAAACTACAGAGATCAGAGCAGTCTCGGGGATCACTTCTCAATTGTACTGAATTTAAAATAATAATCCTTGCATTTGATATAGCGCCTCGTTTAAAACAGAGGAAAATGTGTAGGAAGGAGAGAGATTACGAAATGGGAACGGATACAGAATATCTGCTCAGAGTGGAAGCAGGTTTAAATGACAAGATCCATTAAGAAGCGATTAACAGTAAATGTTGAAGTATTAATTTATCGGAGGTTAAATCACCAAGAAATAATGTAGGAAAGTTTCCAAATTATTTAAACTTTTTCAAATAGGCTTCCCAATGGGTTTGGTCGTTTATAAGAATTTAATGCGACTGATACACACTTCTCTGAGGGTACATATTTACAATGCAGCTAGAAGCGGATGGATTTGCCAGCCTGCTCTGTTTCGGCACGCCATGCCTTGGGTGTGCAAGTTGTCAACTGTCTTCCTAAATTTGACATGGGGTAATAATATGTGGCGATTTCTCGTGACATTCCTTAATAAGAAAACTATAAGTGTGTAATCTGCTTTCAGAGCGGAGTTCCCAAAGGAATATGTCCAGTTAATTGAGAGAGTCCCTTCCCCCTACACACACACACACACACACACACGAGGAAAAGATACAGAACAAGAAACATTAAACTGCCCCTGACACACGATTATTACGTCAATCATTTAGCTCATTGATGCGGTCTCATCTCATTCAGTAGGGATGCCCCAGGCTTCTTTGTTGGTGAACAACAATTTCATTAGCATAGGATGACCAGGTACTCTGGGTTCAAAAGTTCACAAGAATGCTAAGATGCTGAGAACAGGTTAAATTAGATCCTCTAACAAAACCCTAACCCAGGGTTGAGGTCTGAATCACCTTTTCTAAAAGTCACATCATCTAACATACAATGAAAATATTATTCATACATTACAGTACTTTCTCTAAAATTGCCAAACACAAATTGCCGAGGATATCAATGTTCCAATATAAATGACAAACGAGTATATAAAACCTTGAATTTCTACTTAAACAAAACATTTGTTTAATATTATAACATGGATACCTCCAAGATGAAAGTGCTTCCTTACCAATTATGGATAAGATTCACAATTTATGGAACTCAAACATTTGTTAAGTTTCTCAACCTATCTGTGAGGCCAGATATCATTCACTTGACATCAATTTATCTTCATTTCATCTCCACTTACATTTCCGTTTCTCTTCCAATATTCTCCAAAACTTAATAATAATAATAATAATCCTTGCATTTGATATAGCGCTTTTCACGTCGGGTGGACGTCCCAAAGTGCTTCACAGAACACACTGTAAAGTGAATTGACTGTATATTTGTGGGCGAACACGGCAGCCAATTGCGCACAGCAATGTCCCACAAACAGTCGTGGATTGAAAATGACCAATTTATTATTATTGTTTTTGGTTTTTGGAGGGATTATTATTAGGCTCTGTGTGGAGTAAGGAAACTTGCCCAAGGTTTCGCCCTGACCTGCCGGGAATTAAACTCAGGTCTCTCACTTGCAAAGCGAGTGCTCTAACCACTGAGCTACAGGACTCCACTTCAACTTACTATAAGTTATAAAGGATACTCTGGACAACTTACAAGATCCCACATGGAAGATTAGAAGCTATAAACCTAATAAATAGTTATAAGTTTGTACATGATTTCTTTCCATTTACCTGTAATTCGCTGCTGTGGAATGCAACTAACGTATCTATAACGATGAGCATCTATACAGTGTTGTGATTTTATTCATTCTATTTCTAGGGACTGACATATTGTTTCTGTCGGGAGTTGTGAAATTTGCTTTCCAAGAAAGATCAATTGCTGTGCATGAAGCTTGCCAGATGCTTTCAACGACAAGCTTTGTGGTTTAAGCTGGTTAGACTCCGTCAGTACCCCCAATTTACACCGTGGGAGCCCCAAATCTTGATCCCTACCAATTGCCTAATACTCTCCGGAATTAGGTAAGTAAAGATGCATCCCTCCAAAGGAGGGGAGGGGATGTTAAGAGTACGCATTGCTTTTCAAATACGGGACTTTCCGTGTGTAGGTGGCGTGCATTAAACACTTTGTCTGGTTTGGCTACTTTTAAGCATGGTGATGGGTTGCCACATGCGTCAAACACTTGGAGCTGACCCAAAAAATAAGACTGCAGCTTCCTTACCTCCCACAGTTTCCCTGCCTTCTGTAATCTAATAGCTTTTAAAACCTGTGCTGGGTATCACCTTAACATGATTCCTCGATTAATGCTGCTTTCTCTCCTGTGCTTCAGACATGGTGGAGCTTTGAATCTGCACGTTGGTTTTACAACAGACATCACAAAGAACCCTGCTTCTTCATCCAATGTTTACTTATGTATGTTTTTAGAAGAAATCACAAGAGCAGAATCACTGATACAGGGCTCTGGAGCTAGCATCAGTGGTACTGTACCTCAAATCATATTAACATTGACCAGAGATGATATCTGGCCATTTCTGGTGTTTTTCGCTCAGTGGGTGCGTTTACCCAGTGAGTCATGCGGTGATCTGAAACCAGTTACTGTTAGTTGTCAAGTATTTTGCAAAACTATGTTACCTGATCTTCATTTCTTTTTCTCTTCCAGATGTCCCATCAATGTTTGAGTATCTAAACTGCAATCTTGTGTATGTGATATAGGATTAAATGATAAATAAAAGCATGGTATTGATTAAAAAAGCTTGGAATCTAATCTCTTTACAAGAGGCAGATTTACTACCTGTTGACTAAAGACACCTGTGCTCAACAGAAGACCATTTTCTCCTAGCCTGAAAGCATTGCTACATGCAAAATATTCTGATTAAAATAGTTACAAGTTCTAATTTACTTGAGGCTTGCAAACCTTGAAGGGAGTGTTACTTAGATACCCACTACGTAAACCATGTGTATCTGTTTGGACAGCAGATTGTGCCACTCTGGGTACGTTGTAAACAGAAGACTAGAACATTTTGGTCACTGTGAGCCAAGAAGTCATGGGAAACACACATTAGTACTCATAATAATGATAATAATAATTCTTGCATTTAATATAGTGCTTTATCATGTCTTCAAGACATCTCAAAAGTGCTTCATAGAATATACTGTAAAGTGAATTGACTGTATTTTGTGATAGAAATGTGGCAGCCAATTGCGCACGGCAGTGTCCTGTAAATAGTGGTGGGTTGAAGTGACCAATTCATTATTATTATATTTTTTGAAGGAATTATTACCCCCGGAAAAGCGATGCGCCAATTAACCAACAACCGGGTTCTTACTTACTGCTAGATAAAGAGAGGTGTGTAGAGTAAGGAAACTTGCCCAACCTTTCGCCCTGCCAGGAATCAAACCCAGGTCTCTCGCTGGCGAGGCGTGTGCTCTAACCGCTGAGCTCCAGGACTCCACATGCTATTAAAGTATTGTTTGACAACACGTGGTGTCTAGCTTGATGAACACACTCATTTCCCAAAGGCTCATTTCCCTCAAAATCCTGATATCAAAACATGTTTCAGTGGGACGACTTGTATTTGAAATTGGCTTCAAGTACTAAATATGACATAAAAATATCCAAAACATCTATTTTCCGACAATCTAATTAAGATTTACTTGAATAAAATGTTATATTTTGTTGGATCTAGGCAAATAATGATGGTAAATATGAAGAGCTGCCATTTGTTGAGCTGGTTAGAAAAAACGTAAGTTTGCTGAGGAGCTTTATACAGTAAATGAACAACAACAACAACAAAATTAAATTTATAGAGCACCTTTCACGTCGGGATCACGTCTCAAACCCACCAACGTACTCTGCTGAAGGAATCTTCAGCCTCCCTCCTGGAACCCTAAATCTCAGAAAGGTGGGATTGTGGCCTGTGACAGATGGATGAAATTACTGAAAATTTGATTATGGACCTCAATTTATTTAGAGGTTTCAGAACGTCTCAACCGCAGCCCACAAATAGAGACAGACAGACGGACAGACAGAAATGGGGCTGTGTGAAGGAGCAGTATGCTGAGCCAGGCCACAGAGTGGTTGGCTGCAAACGGTTTGTGCCTGATGTTTCACATACAATTTCTGATTTAAGTTATGGTAAATTACCAAGTAAAGCATTGAACCAAACAAAGGTCAGACACACCCTTCAGTCCACAGAGTTTTTTTTAAAACTAAGGTTTTACAAAAGCCCCTATCTAACTCTAGTTCTATTTTACTTTCACGACGTGGTCGGAAAGTGAGAAATTACATTTCACTTATAATATTATGTTACCAATTTTAAGGAGTGGATTTTTTTAAAAAAATTGGGATCAGACCAATATCCCCTTAGTAATTATTGACTCTGGTTCTCATTTCTTTCCTAAAGCAGTCACAGCTCGAAGAAAAAAAAGGGGAAATTCGCCAACATGAACAAGAATACTTTATGAAAGCAAGGAAATCTGCTCAAATTGCATTTCATTGGCTACAGCAAAATGTAGCCCCCACCCCCAAAAAAATCGTCTAGTGGAAACTGGCAAGAATAAAAGATTATGCTCCTGATTAAAAGAAACAGAACAGTAGTAACTTTGTGCAAAACGAGAAAGGAAATTCAGTGCATTTGCAATCAAAATGAGTGTTTTATTTTTAACTGTAGGTCGGTATTGCATCAGCTTGTGAACATCGGTTATGTCACCAATGGCGAAAACATAATGGTAGTCCAACACTCTTAGCTAGTCTCCATTTGCTTTCAATTATTTTGCAATATAAGATTTAACAGTGCACATGAAGAA